AAAAAAAAAAAAAAAAAAAAAAAAAAAAAAAAAAAAAAAAAAAAAAAAAAAAAAAAAAAAAAAAAAAAAAAAAAAAAAAAAAAAAAAAAAAAAAAACAAACAGCTGCCATCAAAGTAGAATGTGATTTGAATTTTCCAATCCTTCGACATTCAGAAATAATATAATCACTCAGCCAGATTAACACTATCTTGAAATGGTGTTTTGAGTTAATGACTTCATCAAAGGAATTAAACAAGTATTTCTATTTCGCAAAAAGGAAAGAACACCAACAAATATAAAATTTGATGGAATCAGCATATAATGCTTGCTGCAAAGGATAGCTAAACATATCAAGCAAAGATTGTAGAAACCTTGAATTAAGTGGAACCTTAATCTTTTTTCCATCTTGTTGAGCACCCATGATTGATGAATCAAGCTCCACAGCACCATTATTCACTTGCAAAAACTACAAAGGACATATAGGAAAACTTCAAAACAAAATCAAATACATAGCCAGCCTATTTGAATTATGGTGAGCGAGCTATAACAAGTATTGCGAATTAAATATAAGCGAGAGTTGGTGTGGTGCGGTTTTGAAACCAAAATGGGAAACATTCTATCTTCCCACATAAGAATCTTCATGTCAAACAATATCAAGTGATCGTCCAATGGGGCAAAGAAAAAAAAAGCTCCACCCATTCATTAGCTCACCTCATCAACCAACCCTTCATATGTCAACTGAGAACACATGGGAGTGACCATGTCTACCTGCAAAGCAGGAATGAGTTTTAAACAAAAAAGCCAAGTGAATAGACTAGACAAATATCATACACAAACTAGCACTACCTCCATGGAAACCAAGGAGCTTTAGAACAAAGTATTCAAATTGAATCTAAATGATTCAAATACAACTATTCATGCCTTGAAAAAAATGGAACTTCTATACCCCTATCACTAAATTACAGAAACTAATATATAAGCAATGTATAACCTACACAATCCAACCCATGTTACCTAGTGACATTCGCAAGGGGAAAATGGAGTATAGTTAAACTTTACCTCCCTATCTAAAAGAATGAGTGTATTTATCTCTGGCACAGCCATCTGAAATAAAAGAATAAATCAATTCTTGCATAAATTGCTTAAATGAAATTAAAAAAGAAGGAGAAAGAGAACAAGAGATCAAGTTAGACATTTACATCATTTGAGTTAACAGGTTCCTCTGTTTGCAAGTGATTCAGAATGTCAGCAACACGGACAGATGCTTTGCCTTTGGCCCTCACATTTGGTATTGCTCCAAAGGAAAACTAACGTCACAACCAAATAATTATCCCATGATTACACAGTAACTCACGAATATGAATCAGTGAATATGGGAATAAATCCAGCATCTTTTACAGTACTAGCAATGTACTTACTATACAGCAGCATTGAATTCATGAACAGATTAAATATGTCCCAGTTCTAGGTTTTATCCTAGGTATCATAAAAAAAAATATGCAGGAAAGATTGTAAAACCTCAAGCTTGTGGATAGCTTTTGCAATATGCCAGAGTGAACTAGTATCACCATCAACGAGGTATTCCTGCCGGAAAGGAGGAGAAAAATTAAATGTCAAATCATGCATAGGCACAAAGAAAGAACATTGAAAATATCACATAGAACGACTGAATGAACTTCTCTCCATACTTTGTTAGAACGATCAAGCTCAAATGACAGAATATCCTCATCCAATGGAATTACGTATAAAGGATACTCCCCAATGGTCAACAGGTGGTGGACCTTTTCTTCCTCCAGAACCTGCATCATTTAAATTTGAACTCTGATTATGAGGATGTAAACAAAGTTTTTAAACTTGTAAAATTTAAAATTAGTCCATGACTCCGGCTTGCTGCCAACTCTTACCTTCTCACAAACCACTGTGCGGCGAGGGACAAAATAAACAAAGTATTCTCTTTGAAGTCCTTTCGAAGTGTCATTTTGAATATGTGAACATATAAATCTCATCAAATCCATCTGAGCACGAACAAGATAAACCACCTTATTGCAGTCAGTTTGAATTGGATCAGATGATAGATGTCGTAATTCAGCTCCATGTTCCTGTATCACGCAGTCGCAATTCCTCAAAAGATTCAAATTGGCAAGTGAGAGAAATAATTAAATTCCCACTAGAAAAACGAAACTCCATTGTACGACAAAACATGACTTAACTGAATAAAAACACAACCCAATTCACTAGATTGAAAATGGAAAACCAAATATGGATAAGAAAAGGAGATATTCACATAAACTCTTCCAGTATCCGATCTCTTTCGCCCACCGGTAAAAACAAGCCTTTATTGAACAGAAGAGACTACCTTAAGAATTGACGTCTGGATGATTAATGAAAGAGAACCTCCAAGCTTAGGATCAACGACCAAACACTTCCTTCCTCGAATCTATAAAGCAACATTCAAATTCAAAGCAAATTTTGTAAATTAACTCTTCGGAATCTAATCTCCAATGTTATACTAAACTTGCAGGTTAATTAAATCATCCATAAACTCCGAGTACAGTCTACTTTTTCATTTGTGAAATGCATGATCGGTTGCCTAACAGATAGATAGAGAAAAAATAAATAAATAAATAAAATAACTAGTGGAACTCAAATTCACCATTATTGTTAACCGCGGGAAAGGAACTCACATTTTTCAGGATGTTTATAAGCTCCTTCTGAGATTGTTCCCTGAAAATCCGATCATGAAAACTTGACGACACGGTTTGAAAGAAATTAGCAGTAAATTAAGAAGCGTTGATCAGAATAAAGAACCTGAGTGCTCGGAGATTCAGGGGAGCATTATCCAAGTTCGGAATCTGCGCCATCCAAGTAGAAGATCTTTCTTTTCCTCTGAACTTCAATTCAACTCGTTTTAACAGAGAATTTCCCTTTCCCTCGCTGGAAGAAGATGGCGGTCGACTTCCGATGCATATATACTCATTTTTTCATCGGCGACGCGCCGTCGAGCTGATTTTATTATTATTTTTTTTATAGAAATGTTGTAATATTTCGAAAATTAAAATTTAAATTAAAAAAAAAAACAAAAAACAAAAAATCAACTTCTAAGTGATAATTTATTTTCAGCTTTTTTAAAACCCCTTTTTTCCATTTTTTTTATTTTGAAAATAATTTCCCAATTATAATAAAAGAAATTCAATTATTGGATCAAAGTCTTTAATCTAAATAAAATAAATAAATATTTTAATCGTATTAGTAATTAAAAGGAATTATAAATATTTTATTTTTATTTATAAATTTAGATAATTTTTTTTTTAAATAAAAGTAACTGAGAATATTTTAATAATATAAAGTTAAAAAATTAATCCTTTCCCTAAATAAATGTAATAATAATAATTCTATTTATAATTATTTATTTCAATCCTCTACTTGGAATCAAATAAATAAAATTTAAATAAAAATAAATAAATATCGTGTCTATTTACGTATTTATTTTCTAGGGTTCTTCAGGAATCTCTAGAAGGAAACGAGGGCTCATTCTTTGAGGATATTTCACACTACACAGCACGAACAAGGTATTCCCCTTCTCTATCTTCATAACTTTCTTCAATATCATAGAATCAATTGTTCTTTTCGGTAGGAAGCACTTGATGAATGTTGTTTCTCGTCGATTTCCGTTCAACTTTGTTCTTGGATTTCCCTAATTACTCTGGATTTTGTTGTGCAGGAGGAGTTTTCTGAAATACGGTGTTGATATGGCTGGGAGAGATGAGTACCGAATATTTGTGGGTGGGTTATCGTGGGAAATCACGGAGCGTCAGCTTGAGAATGCCTTCAGTCGATTCGGAAAAATTATCGATTCTCAGGTTACCCTTTGTGATATACTTTTTGATTTTTGGTTTGATCTGTGTGGCTGGAAATCGAAGAAACTGAGCACGTTGGAATGAGTAATTAATCTATTTCTGATATGAGAAGGAAATTGAGGAGATTTTGGATTAATTCGGTTTCATTTCAGTGTTCTTGATCTTTTGGAAAATATAATTTCTGAATTTCCACTCCCTTCCCTCTAAATAACCTTGCACTGTAGGATTAACTATTGCTTTCAGCTTTTTTTTTAACCTTTAATTTGTCTCCGTCCTCTTCTCTTTCTGATGAATTTTTTTCCCCTTGTGAATGAGGAGGATGCTGTTAATGAAATTTTTGGGAAGCGGTCTTACTGTTCATGAGAAGTTGAATGCATCAAGATGCTGAAGGTCATAGGGTTGTATGTTGCTTAAGCATTATCTGTTTAAGATCTGCTGGTTAAGAGAAAGTACTATTGTCTGGAAATTTGGAATATGGTTGGCTGCAAACTCAATCTAGTTCTCTAGCTGATTGGGGTTTGGTGGGATTTTAGTTTGTGAACTCAGCAACTAACTTGTTCTGTGGATAAAAGTACTCGTCATTCTTTTGCGACAGATAAATGATTTAATACCAGAGTAACTATTAACAAGTCATGTGCTGATACCTGCTCGAGCAGACCTTCCTGTCTTATCGTTATTTGATGCTTTTGAAGAGGAAACTGAAGTCACTAAAATGTCTCGTGTATTCGAAAAATAGAATGTTCTAGTATTTGCTCAGAGAACTTTATCTTTCTCTGGATGATTATTAAACCTTCCATCTTATCCTTGGCTTACTCTACTTTCCAATGGTATGACTAAAATTTAACGATGAAAGTTATGTGGTTACATGAGATGATGTACTGGGGCAGAAGTTCTGGGCTAGATTACCATATTGACTCAGATAATTGGTTTGCTAAGTCATCTAATCACAGAAAATATCTGTAGACATTTGTCATTGGATGCAAAATTTTGTTGTACAAAGATTGTTTCATACTACTAGCTGCTTTTGTAATGTTCTCTTCGTTTCCCTATCCTTTACTGTAATCATTAGCAGAGTGAGAGATAGCTGGTTTTTCATTTGCTAGTTTCACTGGTGTTGAGAGTTGTCAGTGTTCTAAGATGAAGAATACGTTGAATTGGTGCCTCCTTTTTGGCTAAGATTTATGATACCGTACAAAGGTGCAGTGTTTGGAGATCAATAGCCATTTTATCCTTTTGAGTAGGCACTGCTTCTTTGAATTCATTTTGCTGAGGTAAATCAGAGTTCCCTACTTGTTCAGGCATAATCAGAAAGTTGTTCGTATTGGTTTTTGTTCAGCAGTTGATGTGGCTAGAAATTGTACTAGCAATTCCAGGCTTAGCTGCTCAGACATTTTCCGAAGAATTGGCCAAAATGCATTTGTAGTCTTTAGTTTGACATATTTCCTTGTTGTACAAAGATAGCTGAATTGTAAATGTCAGTTTGAGTGCCTTTTCTGATCGGTTGTTGTCATCTCTGCTGAAAATGTTAAGATACTATACAGTGGACATGGAGAATGGACGTTGACGTGGTTATTATTGCCATTTGTACCTTCCAGATCTCTAAAGGCCTCTGATGCTGGATTTCTTTCTGTTTGACCAAGCATTATGGATATCTATTTGTTGGGTATAGACTGCAGCAAAGCAATTGGATCTGAAGCTAAATTTGAGTGTCTTTAGGTGCAGTGTTGCAGGTTGGGCTTTTTATGAGTTATTTAGAGGAATGGATTTAGGTTGTGGCAACCTGAGAAATTATGGAGCTTTAGTTTTTCATCCATTGGTTTTCAACCTTTTCCCGTTGTTTGAAGTTGTTCCAAGATCGGTCCAGAATTCTGCTATTTTGTTTTCCTTTTTTGTGGTGTGCTAGTTCCCTCATTTTATACTCGTTGACAGTATTTTGTGCTATCAGAGTTTGAATTCCTCGATTATTGATTCTATTTAAACTTAAGAGGGGTTGAATATGTACCTAGTTAAGTACGGTTGCCATGCAAGCTGTTGTCGTCATCAAGTTTTCTAGTACATCCTCTTGTCCACAAACTGCTGACAGGATCTCAATTACAGAATGTGCTGGCATCTCCAACTTGCCTATGTCTCCTAGAGCATTCATCTTGGAAGATGTGTTGCTTAAGGATTTATCTTTCAGATTTATTCCACCATCTGTTTCAGATCTCATCCCAATATGGTATTGATAGCAAGATGGCTATAAAATTCTTGTGTTCCCTTGTGTATTATTTGTTGAGGTTAACAAATCTCTTTGTTGGAGTAATACACATATCCAGTGAAGTGATTGTACTGGGTTTTTTGAGTCAACGTTGGATTTGAGTGCCATTTTGGATGCCTGACTGCACAGAACCCATGTAGCAATTTTTTTTTGTGGAGTTGTTTCTTTTGAGTAAAAGGGGACTAGAGGTCTAAGATACTCCCACTTCAGAAGATAGAGATAAAGACATGCAGGTTCTTTTGTTTTGTTAAGGAATTATGTAACATGTTGCAATGAGTTCTTCATAAATGGAAGAAACAAGTAAGTTGTCAGACTGTTTAAAATATTTTATGCTGTTATTATAATTACTATAAGTTTAAACTTCGAATGATTTCTCTTTTAGATGTTGTACTTATCGTGCATACAGCATGTGATAGGCCGAACATCATCACCAGCTTGTACCCATGACTTATCTGTTACCATAGTTGCTGAATGAGTTTAATGGAGTTTTAACCTCGTAACTTGTTGATCATGGCAACTGTTTGTTATTGATTTTATACCTCTTTACAATGTCACAAATGTATTTGTGGTCTTCAAGGCCAAGATTGGGTCTACTTTCCGTTGCTCTTAGATTCACCTCGTTTTCAGTGACTCCAACATTCAGAGTGTTGTCACATGGGATCTTAAATACCAAAACAAAATCACCTTATATTGGTGGTTAGGTCATAGATTTCATCATGAAACATTTTATCTTTGAATATTGAGGAGATAGGAATCCTGGGCTATTTATTTATCTTTCATTATGATGGTCTTCTTCGTCACTTGATAATGCCAGGTTTTGTTATGTTAGACAAATTTTCTTCATAATCTAGTTTCAAACTATGCTGATGGTTTGTATGTTTGAAGTTGCCACCTGCATTATTAGCATGAGATGTACTTTACTAGCTCTGATTTAAGTTCTATGGGCTGTTTTATTGACTGGCGTAAACTTCCTCTTTGGTGTTCCTGTAGATCATGTTGGAAAAAAATACAGGGCGCCCACGTGGCTTTGGGTTTATTACGTTTTCAGATCGACGGGGAATGGATGATGCTATCAGAGAGATGCATGGACAGGAATTTGGAGAACGAATCATTTCAGTGAACAAGGCTGAACCTAAAATGGGAGAAGATATGGACCATGGTTACAGGGGGGGAGGCTACTCAAGTGGTGGCAGGGATAGCAGCTATGGTGGTGGAGGAGGAGATAGATCTGCTAGGCAAGATGAATGCTTCAAATGTGGACGTCCTGGACACTGGGCCAGAGATTGTCCTGTGGGCGGTGGTCGAGGAAGGGGAGGAGACTCATTTCTTTCACGTCCTCGACTTGGGGATAGCGAATATGGGGATCGCTTTGCTGGAGATAATAATCGTTATGTGGATGATCGTTATGAAGGTGGTGGACGCCTTGGAGATAGAGATCGTTTTGATAGCAGCAGGGACAAATATGGAAGTCGCGATCGCTATGTTAGTGACAGGTAATGACTGATATTTCTATGGATTTGAATTTTATTTTCTGTGTATAAAATATGTTTGTTATTTTTCTAGTCTTAAAATTTATCCTTTTAAAGTAATTATCACTAGAATACGATAAATTAACAGAAGAGTGATCCAATATCCTTTGTTTTGCTGAGTAATCACGTGACTTCTCAATTAATTCCTTGCAGCATTATACTTGATCAATCCTCTCATCTCTATAGGTACCCACCTAGTGGAGACCGCTTTGGAAGCAGTAGGTACAACAACGACTCTGGTCGATTTCCAGTAAACAGCTTTGGTAAAGATAGGGGCTATTATAGAGATGGTGGACCTCGTGGGGTTGATAAGTACGAAAGCAGCGGTCCAGCACGCAACGAGGGAAGAAGCTACAGGAACAGACCAGCTCCTTACGA